TAGAAAGTAACTAGCTTTAAGTAAGGCATTATAAAGTAAAGCTAAGACTTAATAAAGTAGTAATTCTAAGGCCTATAGGAACCTATAGGGAACCCTATCTAGCCCTAGGGCATTCTAGGTTATATACCCTCTAAGTGTTATTATAACCTCCTTTTTAGTAATTAGCTTAAAGATCTTAGTTATATCCTAGCTTACCCCTTATAACTTTACCTTAAACCTAGGCTATCCCTAGTTAGGTAGTATAGTATCTAGAAAGAACTTCTAGCTAAGTATATTAGCTTTCTCTTCTTATATAATAGCTATCCTACTATCTAGTCTAGTTAGGACTAGTATTATATTAAAGGTATATCTAGCTATATATCCTTTTACCTAGTAAAAGTGCTTTTAAAGCCTAGATATATTCCCTAGGGAATCTAGGTGCTCCCTCTAGCTTTATAGCCTAGCCCTATATAAGGTTCTTACCTAGACTATCTTTACCTTAATTATATATCCTTAATTTACTAGTACTTCTATATATTACGCTATCTACTATACCCTCTTTATATTATTAATAGTATTTACTACTTCTTAATTCTACTATAGTAGTTACTATAACTAGGCTAGAGTTATAATAGGAATAGCTAGTTAGACTATATTTTAAATAGTTATTACTAACTATCTATATACTACTTTAATCTTAAGGGGGTTATAAAGCATTACCTTATTTAAGGGCTAGAGCTAGGCTATTGCCTTAGTAGTAGCTATATCCTTATCTATCTTCTTCTAATTTCTAGTCTATAGGGGTTCTACTCCCTTATATATATTTAGTATTAATAGTTAGGGGATATAGTTAGACCTAGTTAGGCTCTATAGTATAGTACTATATTACCCTTCTAGGGAGAAAGAAGCCTAGAGTAGGTTAATTATACTTAAGTACTTATCCTTTTTATACTATATACCTATCCTAAAGGGTATAACTAGCCTAGCCTTAAGCCTATCTATATACTTTATTATAGGTTTAGTAGTATTAGACTCCTATTTATAGAAATCCTATATTAGATAGTAAATATTAAAGTTTTTTACTATAGCTCTTAGTATAGGCTTACCTACTCCTACTCTAGGTAGGAGAGTAACTAGGTTTAACCTAGGTTTAGTATAGATATTTATAATAACTAGTAGTAAAGAGAGGAATTAAATATAATAAGTATCCTTTAATAGAGTAGTATCCTAAAGAACCCTTAGTAATCTTTTATATATATAAGTTATAATATAGCCTCCCCCCTAGAGCCTTTAGTATAATACTAGGGCTAGGGTAGGGGGGGGCTAGCCTAGTACTACTTCTTAAAAGGCTAGAATATCTAGACTATTAGGGAGGTATAAAGCTACCTAGATATTATTATTATTTTTATAAACATTCTATAAAAGGATCTTTATTCTATTATCTAGGCTAGGCTAGTTTAGGGGTAGTTAGTACTAGGACTAGTACTATTACTACTACTATTATAGGTTATCTAGTTAGGGTTTATAGTAGTAAGGAGGGGGGTAGTATACTACTACTCCTAGTTAGGGGAAACTATATTATATTTAACTATAATATGTTTAGTCTCTTTACTAGGCTCTACCTAGCCTTAGGGGGTCTCCCCTATAGCTATAAGCTATTAATAACTTATTTAAGTAGTAAAGAGGCCTTTAGGCTTTAGGGCCTATACTTAGTTAGCTAATAGGTTTTAAACTAGGTAGGCTAAAGGCAATAAGCTTCCTAAGCCTAGATCTAGTGCTCCTACTATATAGGGTAGTCCCTAGACTATACTAAGTACCTTCCTTTATAGTTAGTATATAATTTCTTTAATATATTAGTAATAGCTAGGTATACCTTTATATTAGTATAGGCTTAGCCTATATACTAGCTATACTTATCTATCTTTACTATATAGAACTATATAATATATCTAAACCTATAGTATTTATAGTACTAGGTAGCCTAGACTAATTCTATATAGGGTTTATACTTAAATACTTATAAATTAAAGTAAATACCCTATTAGTATAGTTAGTTAGCTATAGTTATATTATAAACACTAATAACTAGTAATACCTTTATACTAGATTTAACCTAAAGGTAGTATACCTTAGCTATAACTATATTAGCCTTATTAAATACTACTAGTATAGTAGTAAGGTTAGTAGTATTATTTAGTATTTTAGCTAGAGGTATACTTTTTATTACTATTAAGTATATATAGCAAGATAGCTATACTTCTAGCCTAAACACATTCTTAACCTAGTATATATTATTTATAAATGCCTTTATATTCTAATAGAATAAGAGCACTATATCTCTAGATAGGAGCTAGTAGGTAGCTACTATAGTATCCTCCTAAAGGGATTAGTTTACTACTATAACTACCTTTACTAGCTTTATAGCCTATACCTTAGCCTAGTAGTCCTTAGTACTAATAATTAGTTCCTTATTATACTAGGCTAGGACTAGCTTTACCTAGGTATCTCCTTAGGTTCCTCCTTATACTATATTTATATAGGTCCCCTTTAATATAGGGCCTAGCTATATAATTATCTTCTTTATAATATTCTAGATTGCTTTAGTAGTTATAAGCAGTCTTAGCTTAGGGCTAGTATATGCTTATAACTATTCTAAGAAGGCTTCTACCTAGGGCTTATTATCTTTATTTACTAAGAAGAGGAGCTTTTTTATAATAATTAACTAGGTTTTAGGTTTCTTCTAGGTAGGTACTACCTTAGGTTTAGTTAGTTAAGTCTTATTAGTCTTAACGTGTTTAGATGCGTCTCTAGTAGTCTTTTTACTACTACCTACCTTAACTATAGTATAGCTCTTATCTAGTATTATTTCTAAGCTAGGCCTAATATTATTTTGCTTCTTACTTACTTTTTATTAATTTTATTAACGTTGTGGGCTTACTATAAGCATGTACCAATTCTAGGCATATGATATTGAATTTTATTATATTAATAAAAAAGACTTTCTAATTTACTATAGCCTTTATTATTAAAAAAATACTAATTATTTTTTATAGGTTTTAGACTAGCTTATAAAGGTATTAAAAGTTAAAAAAATCTAATTACTAAAAGTAGTTATTTATAACTATAACCTTATCTTTATTAAAGCCTTTAAAAACTATTTTAAGTTTAGCTAAAAAAAATATATATTATATTTATAGTATATTTATATAAATATTTTTATATATACTAAAAAGTTTTTTCTTAAACTAATCTAGAACCTTATTATATATATAAGTATTTAGTATTTTAAGTTTATTTAGTTCTTAGTAATATAGAAAAAGCTTATTAACTTCTTTACTATATATACTTATAAAAAAAGGCTATAAAAGTTTATAATACCTAGAAAATAGCTATTAAAAGTTATTCTTTATTATATTTAAACTTAACTTTATCTTTATTATAAGAATATTATTAAATATTAGGTTAATAAGTATAAGTACTTTAGTTATACTATAATATTAATAATAAAGTTATTTTATATAAGGCTAAAGTAGTTCTTTTAATTAGCTTAAAGTAACTTTAAAATATTCTTTTATAATCTTATAATATTCTAAGATTAATAAAAAAATAATATTATTAGAGAGATTAGAAGAAATTAAGGTAAAGTATTAATATCTATAAGTAAAATTCTCTTTTCTTTAATAAAAAATTATATTATAAAAGAAAGCTTTAAGTTTATACTTAAAGAATAAAAAGTAGTTATTAATAAGAAGGTAAAATTATTAAGTTAATACTATTTTATTTATACTATTATTAAAACCTATAGGCTTTTATATAAATACTAAATTACCTTATTAGAAAGCTATTAAGAACTTTTTATATTTAATAATTTTAATCTTTATTAAGTATAGTTTAATTTAAAAAGGTTTATTCTTTTTATAATTATTCTTAATCTTATTAATTAAAAGTTAAGATAGTATATAAAGTAAGAATAAGTAACTACTAATAAAATACTTTCTTTTTAAAATAAGTATATTTAAAGCTAATTTAAATATATATTAATTAAAAAAAAAGCTAAAATATACCTTTTAATAGCTATTATAAAGGCTTATAAAGCCTTTCTTATTATAAAAATATAGTTAATAATATCTAGTATAATATTTATTATATTAATATTAATAACTTTTTTAATAGCTTAAATTAATAATATAAATAACCTAATTAACTTATTATTAATATCTATAGATTTAATAGATTTTAAAGATCTTTATAAGCCTAAAATAATAGCTTTATAAGCCTATTAATATATAAATTTTAATATTAAAAATTATAAAGGTATCTTTAATAATAATAAAGATAATAGCCTTATATTAAATAATAATAAAGGTAATAAAAATATTAAAAGTATTAATAATTAAAATATATAAAGTATATTAAATATTATATTTAAAGCTATAAAGTATATAAATATAATTAATAAAAAAATATTAAAACTAAAAAAAAAATTAAAGTAATTTTCTAATTTTCTTATAATTAAATATAATTATTATAAAATTATAGTTATAGGTATAAGTACTTTACTATTCTTAGGATATTAACCTTATAGAATATACTAAAATTTAGTATATTTTATAGTATTAGTGTTAAGCTATAGTAACCTACTTTTTTATTTAGCGATTATCCGTGGAGGTTTGGCAGATATTTTAGGCCTTCTTTTGCTAGCTGCGTACGCTAATAATAACGAGACTTGGGGTGAAACATGCGACAAATCGTGTGCTGGCAAGTATCAAGCGCTTGATCTGTGAAGACGATTAGCGTAAAAGGATGCGAGGAGAATAGGTAATCGACAGGCAGAAGACAATGAAAGAAGGTTCCCCACCCCAGTAACTAATGTAATAACAAGGAAAAGTGCTCTGTGGGGGGTAGTGGTGTTATCCAGGCACGTCGCAGCAAGTAACGGAGCAGAACTGACGGGGTATTGGTATTTCTTTCTTTTTAAAAGGGAACCGTGCGCCTTTCTACATGCATATGAACAGTAACAACTATTTGTGCTTCCCAATGGCTCTCATTCTTGCGCCAAACACCCACAGTACAATCGGGGCTGGTGCTGCCAGGACCATGAACGCAAACCCCAGCACACTGTTGCCCCAGCCATAGCCAAGGTCAGCATACAGCGCTGGTGCAAAGAGCGGAAACGCAAAGCCGGTGATGCTGCGCAAGAATTGCGAGGCTGCGGCGGCCGATGCCACGTGGCCAATGTACGACTCGGTAACATACGCTTGCATCGCTTGCGTATTGAGAATAATGCCACAGCCAAAGATGGCGATGCCGATGTCAGGTCCAATCCAGTGCACACGGTACTGGGCGGTCCACCCGTAGATGAAGATGCCAGTGAGAACAAGAAATGCTCCAGGAACCATTAGCGGCACTCGATATTCGGGAGCCGTCTTGGTTCCGCCCGCACGCTTCTTCAGGTATGCCCAAATTTTGTCCATGAACCTGCTGCCCACTTGCGAGGCGACTGTGTACCCGATTACGAGAGCGATGTAATGCAAGCCACTCATGAGCTTGCTTTGGCGATAGCGGTCGATCCACAGGGTAGCGAATGTCGCGAGGACAAGGTACAAGAGGCCAAAGTTGTAGGCGAGAAGGACACCCATGAGTTGAATGGTAGGATGCGTAAAGAGTAACCGAAATGGGCGAGTCAGAGATACCGCAAGTCTCGAGCTGAGTTTCTCGTGGCTTTCACTTGTGTAGTATGCTTTTCCAGTCTCCTTGCTCAGCTTCTTTGCTTTCCGCTCCAGGAGTATCACCTTGAAGGTTTCCGGTAGCAGAAAGAAGCCGATAACAACAAGAATCCCGTCATATATCGATAGAATGTAAAAGATCCATCGCCACCCGATTGTCTGGGTTACGGCACCGCCAATGATGGGTCCAAGGGCAGGGCCCAGGAGCGGCAAGAATGTCGAAATGGCATACGACTTGCCACGTTGTTCAGGTCTCCAGATATCTGCCAGTACAGGGCTGCTGACGGCAAACTCAGCACTAGCACCGATACCCGACATGACGCGACAGAGAATTAGAACCCCTGGGGATTTGCTAAATCCAGCTGCCGTGTTCCATACAATGTAGTAACAGGCGCAAATCAGCCAGACGGGTCTTCTGCCAAACACCTCGGTACACGGTGCCAGTACCATCGGGCCAAACGCAAAAGCAAGAACATAGATGGAAAGAAATATTTGAGCATTCTTTTCGTTCGTGTTAAAATCGTGTGCGATGTCCTGCAGGGCGGGTGCCAGCATTGCGCCGGACATGAGCGTAACGAGGCCGCCGAAAGAAAGAAGGATGGTAATGGCCCATTTCAAAGGTTGATTCCAGTTATACGGGTGATCGGGGTCATCGTCACCATTCCAGGCAACCTGTCGCAAGTAAATTAGTATGACAGCTGTTTGGTGGTGCCGGGTTGTTGGTGACTTACTAACAAGGGATCAACTTGAGGCTGATTCGTCTCTTTATCGAGACCCGCCGGTCCGGCTTCGGTTGTGGAAGAACCGGCGCCTCGTTCAGTATCAGCCATCAGGTTCGGTTTCCGCGATGCTGATTGCACCCCTGCACTTTGCTGCTGAAAACGAGAGAGCACTCAATGCAACAATGGCGGTTGAGAAGATAATCTTCATTGAAACGTCGGTAAAAGACAAACCGCATTTTATAGCGAAGTTGAAATTACACCAAGAGAAGGAGATAATCGGAGAACGAGCAACAACAAATTGCAAAGGCCTTGTCGTGTTACAGCCGTGACAGTATAATGCAGGACCGAGACTCGGGTACAGTGTGAGTATGTATTCGCACTGTAGCCGTCAACGATCTTGGTAATGATGTGCACAGTGCGAGTCGGGCTCGGACTCCGAGAAGAGGCGCGAGCGACGGGGCAGGCAGGCCAGGAATGACTGTGGTTGCTGGCTGGCAGCTCCGGAGCCGATATGCAGGGACGCGTTCATTCATCGTTAAATTATCATTCGTCATTAAATTACCTAACTGTTTTCGCACCAACTGCAAGATTTTGCGCCGAGTTGCAGCGGAGCATGCAAGTTAATATTGCGACAACTAATTTGTACTCCGCATGCTCTATTCCTCAGTCGTACGCAACCAGTCAAACGTATCCATGAGCTCGAAACTAAAGTCGGGCTGATCGAGCAAGTCCCACTCTGGAAAGGTAAGCATGGCTTCGTCTGGACTCATGTTCAGGCTCTGGTCAAGCACCTGCTGGATAATAGTCTTGCAGTTGGCACAGAGCTTTGCGTTCGGCATCGAAGGCCGGACCCAGTCAAAAAAGCCAACCAGCAAACTCAGCTGCTGAATAATGGTGGCTCGGCTAATGTTGGGATCCTTGCTGTGCTCGCCCGCACCGAGTACCTCCTGGCACAAGATACCCGCCGCGGGAGCACCATACGAGAGCATCTGCGACATCGTGTCAGATGAATTGCATACCCAACAACCAAAGTCCTACTTACAATCCATTCAAAGCTGCGCTGTACGATAGCGCCTGCAAACTGTTCCTTGTGAATCCAAAGGTGGAGAGCCAACATCGCCAGCGAAAGGCTCGTCTCCAGCAAGTTATCTCGAATCGCATACCCGCAACGTATCAAGAGTCGATCGATAAAGAATAAATTTTGAAGATGCTCGAGATGAGTGATAATCTTCATGTAAAGGGGACGAGCGTCTGCATTGGGATTCTCGAGGTCCTTCGGCTCATATCTGAGACTGGTCGGGAACTCGGCTACCAAACTGTACTCTCGGTCTTTGAGGTCCCTGCTGACTGTATTAGTTATGACTTGGTCGGCGCGCGCAAACGAAACGCCAGTTTTATAGGAGAAGCCGTACATGAGATATTCTAGTGTTGGGTTCCGACCATTGCTCAGGGTAACTTCAAACACCTCGTCCCGGACCAGCGCCATCATAGTGCGGGCCCTCGCCACAGTCGCCGAGTACAACCCGCCATCCGTGTTCCACCCTCGTTCATCCAGAGAACTGATGGCCTTGTTGAGAGTGGCAGAGCCCGCAATGAGGTCTTCGTCGCGGAGGTCCAGAGGTAAGGGCGCAGTGTAGTACCGATGACTGATGAGGGGCGGATGCCCGTGAAGCATGACTCCGATTTTATCAAATACGAAAGTGGCTGCCACCAGTCGCCGGTTGTTTTCGGACCACGCTGTTGGGATATACGGCGCATTGCTCTCCTGCGTATGGAGACCGAGGAACATCAGATAAGCTATATTGGCCCCGTGGGCCTCCCAGATCGGCAATCCTAATCATGCACCTGTAAATAGCTGTTGAGGCGGAGGGTGGCCGAACTGAATTGCTTACCTGATTCACCGTCTACCATGGATACTAGAACAGCTCTTCGACGATACAATTCCGCCAATAGTTCGCTCTCGTCGGTGAACTGGCGCGCGAGACGGATACAGCTGTCGATATGAAACTTTGCTGTATGACCCGATGTGTTACTTTCTGAGCGCACCAGCTTCCTGGGAATCAGGGCGTCCAGAATGTCTGAAATGCTCTCCATATGAGTCCAGAGAAGCCCTATGGATTCCCATCTCGTATTTGGGCCAACAAAGCAATGCAGCCATGCCTCCCAGTCGGCATAGGGGCCGCGCATCGGTCGCGACGTGTTGCTGGATATTATTTCCGCGACGCGCTCCAACGTTTCTCGCTCGCTAAACGATGACGTGTCAGCAAGAACAGTCTGCAGCCACCGTACTATTCGATGTGCTGCCAGATGAAGCCAGCCTTTGGCATGAAACTCGCCCTCAAGATACACCATCTGCGCGTCCCGCTGATTGGGCATTGCTCGCAAGACGGCTAGGCAAGTCTCCCGAACCGGCTGCGGCAGCTCGCTGAAGACAACCTGCCGATCCTGTTCCGGCTGGGTAGCGGGCGAAATGTAGCCGTAAATGTTACTGTGCATGCCGCTGCCGGCTAACAAACTCGGCTGTGTCTCCGCCAGCGCCGTCGTATAGCCGAGTCGAATATTCGGGCGAGGCCGCTTGGACGGCCTTGGCGGTATCGCCACGATGGACGATGGCCCGTCGCTGGGCGTGGGCAGCCGGTCGTCGTTGTCGGTTTTGATCTTGCGCGCGGCATTGGCCGCGTAGAAACACTCGTGTCCCCTATTCTTGGCGCGGCAGCGAGAGCAGGCTGGGCGAGCATGGTCGCACGCCACCTTGCGTGTGCGGCAGGGATCGCAGGCCGCCAGGCTCCCGTTGGGCCGGAGCTGCTGCGCGACCCGCGGCCCTTGGGCAAAAGACATGGTTTTTGGGATTCGAGCAGATACGGATGGGCCGGCGCGCGGGTTCTTTTTTAAGGGCTGCGCAACGTTCGGCAGCTGCGTTGTTGTTGGACGGAGTTGTGGCGATGGGAAGCTCTCAACCCCGAGTGGAGTCACTACTAGGACCTTGTTAGGCTAAGACATTTGAATGCCAATGGCGTACGAATTAATTTGTAGAGAAAAATGAACGAAAATTAGAGAAGGAGATTGTCGATTTCTACAAGCAAAAATTACCATCGGCACAAGTTGGAATAGTTTCGAATTCTTCCACATCATAGAGTATCAGAGATGACAGCAGCAAGAAAGGGGACCTTGGAAGACTCAGTTTATTAAAGAGAGTATATAGCTAATAGACAAAGCAAGTCAAGGCACTGGAATCTGGGATACCAGTGGAGCCTAGTAGCACCAGGCTGCCATTGTACTTTAAAGCGCAGAGTACGGATAGCAGGGCAACTCAAAAGGGACTGGCTGATGCTACCATAGGTTGATTTAGTCGACAACGTAGTTGGTGGCGGCGTCGGCATCAGAGCGCTTATCAACAACATAATTGGTGGCAGCGTCAGCATCAGAGCGCTTATCCACAACATAGTTAGTGGCAGCGTCAGCGTCGGACCGCTTGTCAACAACGTAGTTGGTAGCCGCATCAGCGTCCGAACGCTTATCCACTACGTAGTTGGTCGCGGCATCAGCATCCGAACGCTTATCAACAACATAGTTGGTAGCAGCATCAGCGTCGGACCGCTTATCAACAACGTAGTTGGTAGCCGCATCAGCGTCCGAACGCTTATCAACTACGTAGTTGGTGGCGGCATCAGCGTCCGAACGCTTATCCACAACGTAGTTGGTGGCGGCATCGGCATCAGATCGAATGAAGACTTTTGACAGGTTAGAAACAGCCGTAAAGATGCTGATGAATTGTGTTCACGAACCAGGCTTGGCCACGGCAGTGGCAGCAAGAACGCTAATCACGAAAGTTGATCGGAAATGCATATTTGCGAGATTCACAATTGGTCAAGGTTGTAAAGGGAGAAGGGCTCTTGGATCTGTGTTGGTAGGTTGTAAGTGTGTTGCGAGTGAAGAGGCATATGAGCTGTTAGTGAGTCGGCTGACTATATAGTATTACATCACGTAAACAACAGCTGCCAGTTTGCGCATTGTCTAGCATCTACGAGAAACCATTGCCCAATGGCGTAACATGGGTGCAAACTGATTGCTTGTCATCTATGTCTATGTTTGTTAACTGTCACTAAAACCAGGGCGCAGTAGCCGTCAGTACTGCAGGCCATGACCTTTCTGATTTCATCTTCTGCTTGCGATACAGTCATGGTGCAGTCAAATATTATTGATTTGAATTTAGATTTTTTTTTTCACGAGCGCTGATCTTCGCCCGCAAGTACATGCATCATCATCTCGGCATACCATGTTCGCCATTCCCCTTGTCATTTGTGCTTTAGCTGCTTCCCCGCGGTGACAGCAGTCGCCTCCCTCGGGCGGAAATATGCCCTGACAAAAAAAAAGGTAGAATATCGTGCTCTTCTACAGAACAAAAACCGGCGATAGTCATTGGAGATGAACTATAATGCCCACGGGTGTACTCTGTGCTGCGAAGCGTGTCATACCTCTAAGCCCACCCCCATGAGCGGTGACACAGCTGATTTCACCCCCCCCCCCCCCCTACCTTGCAGATACGACGGTTTTCAGCTGTGACAAGGCAGAGAAAAAGCATTGAAATAGGTAACATCTCAAGAAGATGTTGTAATAGCTATTGGGCTAATGCAAGAGCTGCACTGCCGCTGTGGCCTGACATCAGTCGTCAGAGCCTGGCTAGCCGTATGGATTCAGCGCTGTTCCCAAGCACCATGACACTCCGCAGCAGCTTCTTCACAATATTTCTCCCAATACAATTCTTTTACCTACCAGAAATTCATATCGAGAGCTCAGGATTTGCCAAAAATTTGTACGAGAAAGCAGTCCAATGAAGTCAGAGGATACAGGTACGCGGGCTTCCACGCCGACCATCACCGAGGAGCAAGATTGGAACGCGAAAGATTCCGACGGCCTGTTGAAATCCAAAGAATGCAATGAGAGACATGTCGTCAAAGAACCGCGTCTCTTGCAGAGACAGATTTCTGCCAAATTGCATCTGGCGATTTTCAGCTTTTATATTTTGACCTTACTCGGCATGGGAGTTCTGCTCGGAAGAAGCTGGAAAATTGCGAAGCGGCCTTTTCTATACTGTGAGCCGCCAATTTCGCACTTGTGCTCTATCTCGTGCTGATGAGTATTTTAAGCGCCCGCAAATGAGGCCGTCGAATATTACATCGGCGAGTTCTCGGACGGCAATGACCCCCACGGCAAGTTCGTTGGGGAACCTCGACCTTCACTCGAGAAGGCTTGGACAGACCTGCTAGGACGTGAGTAGCGCGATCAGATCATACTATTTTTGGACTACCGCGCTAACACTTTAGCCATGAATGTGCGGCTATCACTGGAGGATGTTCAGGCGTTTGGTCGTGAATCGACAGCGGTCGGGATGTCAGATGGCAGCGGCTATCTCGGCACGTTGAACGTGTATCATGAGTTGCATTGTGTGGTATGCAAAATATTCCCTCTATTCGCTAACTGGTTCTGACTTCACATCTTCTCATGTCGCAGAGATGGCTTCACAAATACATCTACCAAGATGAGTACTGGCCCGGGCTGGATGATGAGCAACGACGAAAGAACAAGATCCACAGCAGTAAGTTCAGAACTTCGAGGATAGGCGCGAAAAGCTACTAATCGAAGGTTTTAGACCACTGCCTGGGTACTCTGAAAAGTTTTGCCATGTGCCACGGCGACGTCGGCCTCGTCATCTACAGCTGGCAAAAAGATGTGCTGAAGCCGGGGGCCAATGGTACAGGACACACTTGCGTCAACTGGGAAAAAATATCACAATGGACCCGGGAACGAACCGTCGACGTGTATGAACCGGGACTGATTATCCATCCACAGCTCGGTGAGTCCAAATTCTGAAACCAGCTCCCCAGTGTGGCCGGAATGTCTTGACTTACTCTCCCGAAACCAGGGCCGGCATACACCGGAGGACAAAATGATAAAGAACATATAAATGGAGCACTGCATTCACATGGAAGCCGTACATAGGACTGCCGAGCCGTGGGGCTGCGGTAAGCCATAGAAACGAGGCTGAGGCCGAGAACCGGCGGCGTGGCGGTTCGGGTATTTTCACTCCGCACAAGCCTAACCGATGTTCACATGGCAGGCCTTTTGCGCATTTCTATCAATAAATGGCGTTTATGCGCAAGTGTCAATTCTGCAAATGGAGTAAGTTGCAAGTAGAACCAGAAGTAGCAAAGCGTAACAACAGTAGTGAATGCAGCATTACGTAGAGAATGGTGTCGCTCCGAGATGACGCCTTATTATCTCGTTTATCGGTCCGGAAAGGGTCTTCGCCATCTCGCAAGTCACACAACAGGTATGCGCCGACAGACGACGCACGAAAGCAGGCTGACGGCATATCGCCTTCCCAGGGTTGCATTGCATCCCCCCCGCGCCTTCCTTACAAGGATGATTTTCGAAACTGAACGAACAAGCATTTACTATACTGTCCAAGCACACATGATCCCCAGACGAAGGAACGAATGGTGAAGCTGGGGGGCGTGGGGGCGATAGGCCACCGCGGAGCACGGAACTTGCTACAAGGGGAACAGGGAACTGAGTCAGAGCCACAGTGCCGTTGCCGGTACTTGGTTACGATCCCTTCTTCGCCTGCCCGACATGGTTTCTTTTTTCGCATTGAGTTGGCTCCGAGTAGATACAACTGCCGATGGCGAAAACCACTCCATCCGCTCTGCATACCATCACACGACGCTTGTGTATCGCGACGTGTATGACGTGACGAGAGCTTGAATTGACGAGTGCACCGCCTCAAATCCATGCTGTCCTCTCCCATTATTACTACCCGGATGCGCCTATTGGTGTGTTTTACATGCACAGCATTGCCAAGCCCTCGACGAACATCGGGGTCGTTTCCTCACTGATGAAGCAGCCTGGGGAGGAACCGGAGGACAGCCCCTGCTGTCACTCACCTGCCATTCGGCTATTTATGACTCTTTTGAGGTGATGATACAGGAGCTGAAAAATTGCGGATAACGCAGTTTGTAAGACCCCAAAGCTGCAGGGAGATGCTTGTCTGTGCCGACGATACGCTATGATATCATGTCTAAATGTGTCTGTTTCAGTATCGCTCGATCGTGATGCAGACAGCGCATTGCGGAGAATACTCGGTAGGTTTCAAGCAATGACTTACACGGTTGTAATTGACCTACTGCACCTGCTGTTAACGAATGTTGCAAAGTCAGATGGATGCTGGCCACCCACGTACGGTTTTAGGCATGAAGGTTACTAGAGATAACAGTGGCTATATTATTATGAAGGTACTTGGTATTATTAATACGGTACTGAATCTGATTTCTTACTGTTTATCAATTTGCTATTTAAATCAGAATTATATAAAGATAAATACATATAAAAGAATAAATAGAACAATTGATAATTTATAATTTCAGTATTATGATATAAACTTGTACTACTTGCTATATATCCATACGCTTTATTACGGAGCATTTGGTTCTGTTCTTAAGGTACGTAGCGCCCGCGTGCCAGCGCCTGATACCAGCGCCCGCGTACCAGCGCTTACGTCCGTATCCCTTTGGAGGCTTTGGAGGAGGAGCAAGCAAGGAATTTCCAAGGACGTGGTAGAACCAGCTATCTCGAAAAACGAAGGCACTTTGATAATACAAAGTAGCCAAGGTGAAGGACTATAGCGTAGGAGTGCTGGAAGCTTCCTGAACAATCACTGATCAGGCATGTCGATAAGATGTTGTCACGGGCTAAGCCCTGTGACCGCACGTGGTAACAAAGTACAGAGTAACATGAGACTTGATATTAGTATATTTTAAGAATTATATTTTAGTTGATATACATTATTAGTTTCTATTTTATAGAAAATAATAATAATAATAATAATAATAATAATAATAATAATAATAATAATAATAATAATAATAATA